GTCTCTTACAAACAGTAAAACACAGGAGAAAGTTTTACCAAATAATTTACCTGAATGGATGTTTCTGTCATTTCAGATGTGAAAAAGAAAACCTTCAGCTGATAAAAGCAGGAACAGCTTCAACTGATGCTGAATGTGGAGAAAAAAGTTCCAGCACCATAGGAATTGTGATCGGAGTTCTGATGATTTTTTTAGGTGCAGCAACAATTGGTGGTGGTGTTTTTCTCTGGAAATATCACAAAAATACACAACCAAGTGAGATGAATAAATACAAATTAAAATATTAGCATTCTAAAAAGAATTTCTGTTTTAATAATTGTAACATTTCATTTTTAACAGACAGTTCTACAAACCAACTACGAGGGGTAAGTAGGTTTATAACTGAACTGTAATGTGAATATATATTGATGCCAAAATTTATTTTACCAAATAATTTGTCTTTTCTACATAAAAGGGCAAAGCAGGAGGAGCAGAAGAGGAAGTCGCTTTCAATATGCCAGGTAAGAAGAACATTGTTCTTTACTTGAATAATATCGGATAGACAGTTTTTCTGGGCATTATTCTGAAAAACTGAGATTTTTCTCTCTAAGGAATGAAATCAAACTGATCTGATTCTGCTTGAGCTGCTGTCCTGGATGTTGCCATCAATATCTAATCTATTTGGTGCATTTTTTTATTTTCTATCTACAGTGCATGAAACCCCAAGATAAACACCTGGATGACAATCACTGATTACTGTAGATCAAATGATTCAGGGTCTGAGTTGAACCAAACTAGATACTGAGTCGTTGTTTTTACAGTGATCAGAAAGAACAGCTAAAACTCAAACTCCCTTCTCCACCATCCATGGTCGTCACTCTACATCCATCACACTGTACAGGAGAAAAAGTTGTAGAACTTGACTGTTTATTGCCAAAGTATCAGATCTGTGACTGTAACCCTGAATGATTAGATTAGGTAATAGACAATAACTGGCTTGTACTTGTACAGCACTTTATCAAGATCAGAGGACACCAAAGCACTTCACACTA